AAGTCATTATACATTTCCTGGCACATGTTATGGTGCTGCTGTCTTATGCACTTAGAGGAAACAATTCACTTGAAACATTTGTGCTCTTTAGACAGGGTATCCAGTGCCTCCAATTACTTTTGTATATAAACAACCATGGGGGCACAATGTAAACTCACACTGAAGATGCATGCGATGAGCTTTTAGCTGTGCAGAAGGGTGAGTACATGTCATCTAGGAAATAAGTCCTCTATTGAGATGATTTATTAAAGGCATATAGGCTTTTAACTTTACAAGGGAATTTTCCCTTTGTTTAGTGAATGAGCTGAAGCTCTGCTGACTTCTATCATCCAATCATGTGCAGGCAAAAATACTATTTTTTCTTTCCGTGAATATAATTGGGTTTTTTTTTACCACATTCAACTAAGGGAAGGAAAATTCCCTTGCAAAGCGAAAATTCTATTACAAATTAAACAGCCGCTTTGCATTCAGTACATGAACCCCTATGTGTTTTGGTTTGGACAGCAGACCTATATCTCCCAACCCTGTCACAGGCAGTGATGTATGTGGCAGCTATTTCTAAAGTAGGTGTGAAAGTTGAAACAGAAGGTTGGAATTCAGAGCTATACAAAAAGAGCCAAAATAATAACATTTACAAAAGAATTGTATTTAGAAACCTAGCTTTCTATTGTGAGTGGTGGTTAAGGTTGCAGTAACCTTAATGTTTTATATACAGCTGTGTTCTCTTCATTGTATTATATAGACATATTTCTACATTCTCCCATTAGTGGCCACCTGCATATACTGGGCAGTGAATGCAGCAAGCCTGCAGAACAAGTTTGAAGACAAACCAAATGGGACAGATTGACTAGTCTGAAGCAAGGTAAAATTAACCTGTTCATATAAAAAATTCAGTAACATGCAGGGGAAGTCCTGATTTTTTACGTTTCTGCACATGAGTGAGTGTTTAAAGGGAACCAATGCTTATTATGGCTCTTTTCATCTTTACTAGTAAATTAGGTCAAGAGAGTCTACAGTGGTCAGTCGGAGCAGACCAGTGAACTTGCATTGTGAGAAAGAAGCAACGAACCACAGTCACATGGAATGCACATATTGCTGTCCTCATGAAAATACATAATTTACAATCCTAAAATAATTACAATCACGCTTTTCAATAAAAATTTAAAAAAAACACTAACACATAATTAAAGTGTATGTAAATAATCACTAAACTCTCATATAAAATATTAGATAGCTGTTTTAAAAACAAGTTTGTTTTTTTTTTAATTCCGTCTTTGTTGCTTCTCAATGCTGCTGATTTTTTTGCAAACAATGCTAACAGGGAAATACTAGAAAGCAGGAATTGACTAAAGCAACATGATCATGCATTATTAACACTTAAGGCCAATTGATTCCTGCACTATAGCTCTTTGTGGTGATATGTATAAATTGCATACATAGCTGCAGGCCTTGATAAAAAAAAAAAAAAAATCTAGAGAAGAAGCCTGGTTTCCCAGGTGAGAACTTACTGAAACCGGCAGTACAACCAAATTAATTAAACTAATCGCAAATAATATAGTGACACTAGTACATAAAATGAGTGTGTTCTGTGAGCGCCAGATAATGTACCAAATGTCCAAACACTGCAGGGATTTAGTAAAAGCTCTGCATCTATTTTAGCATGCTGATGCATTAGCCATCAATCAATGGAAGTAAGAGAGGAAATAGGATTTCAGCATAGTGAACTCCAAATCATCCACTTTACTATATATACGATATCCATACCTGGTTACGGTTTCAAACTGAGAATCAAGGGGATTTTTTTTAAACAATTCAGTATATATAATCCAGCGTTACCAGTTCAACTAATTACAGTATAGTATTTTGAAACAGTTTTACTAATTATCTCTTTACAACCTCCTAATTAAAGAGTTTCACAACTAATATCTGTTTTATTATATACCTGTTATTGCATGCTTTAATATTAGCATGCTTAAAGTTCTGATCACACATTCTAAAAATTATAAATCTTTATTTTTGAACTGGGAAAGGATGTCATTCAACTACGGTTGACAACATTCCTACCTCAAACAGGGCTGTTGGAATGTAGGTCATGAGGTCAAAGCTTAAAGAAAGGAAAATAAACTTGAATTAAAGCTCAGTAAGAACGTGGGCACAGAATCCAAATCTGATGTATTTAATTATTTAGGAATTGCAGGCTGAAGAAGTAGAGAAATTGGGACAGCATGATTGCTACGTTAAAAAAAAAAAAAGATTTTCCCCGCTATTAAAGGACACTCAGTAGCCATTATAGGAAACCTTTAATCACAAAGTCTTAAAAACCAGTAAGAAAAGTAGTACATCAAGTCACAATTGCAAAGTATTTCTTCCTATGCGAACTATGATGAGAGCTGCACTGCTGAATAGAAGACAGTTAGGGACATTGAACATATCATCAGGCTGTAGAGACATCAGTAGATTTCTGGATTTTGAAAGGTAGCACAAAGTCAAGGCTATTGCCAGCTAATTATTTGATAGTTATGCAGTTTATTGTTTCCACTGTAAATGACTTCTCCCTTAGTCTGATTCATTAGATAAAACTGGCACATTTTCAAGTGATTTCCTGCTAATGTAAAGTCTTGACTTTATGTACGTAAATCAGCTACCCGAGATTTCACAATGTGCTGAGATGTCACTGTGCTGAATGCAGAGTTAGGCTGCATTAAAATATTTGGCATAAACAACATGGAAGGGGACTGAGTTCCTGCAATAAGAAGCAAGGGTAAAATAAACAGATGACATGACTGGAAGAAAGAGGGCAGTAAAAGTACACTGATATGGGGGATCAATGATCAAATGCATTGGCAAGTAAAGCACGCCATCATAGCTATGGGGAATTCATGGTTAGGCTGCCAGGGGGAAATTGAGGCACAGTACAGAGGGAATCTTATGTATGCTTCTTGTGCAAAGCATTTTCTCTGCAGTTGCTTGGGACCAAAGCCAAGAAAGGGAATTATTGTAACAAACAAACACAGTGCAACACTCAAGAATAAATGACAGCAGGAGCATATAGTCAACATCTTGCTGCTCAAAATTAAGTGCCCAGCTCAAGTAAACTTGTTCGATTCATTTGTTTTACACAGTTCGAGAACTGCTATGCCCTTTGTCTCTCTACAAAGGAGCTACGGATGGCTAACAATGGTAAGATTTAGCATAACATGTCTAGCAGAATTAAATTCTAAATAATATAAAAAAGAAAAGGTGAAGGAGAAAAAAAGCCTGTCTGTTCATTTTGTGATCTGACTTAGGCCTGCTATAAGCTCAAAAATGAAGTGTATCTAAATGGGCTGCCATGGCTTTAATACTGTTATGAGCTTAGGCATACTGCCATAGGAAATGCTAGAGATGCCTGGCAACCTATTTTTTTCTATCTAGGTTACCCTTACAACTTTTAAAACCCACTTTCAATTTCTCTGCTAAAAGTGTTAAAGTGGATTGTGCTCAGCTGCTGGAGCATCTGATCAAATACACCGAAATCCACCAGTGCCTGGCAATTACAGATGAAACCTTATTAAAGAAAGTAATTTTAGCTTCCTGAGGATTATAAAATTGCAGTTAGCATCTACAGAAGTAGTCCATGTAATGAAAAAGTACTCTTCCAGAATGAAGTGAGAGTTCTCATTGAGTTATATGCTTAATTTGTTTTACTTTTAAAATACCTCAAATATGTTTTTTTAATTCATGGCGGAGAACGAATCTGCAAATGTTGGCATTTGTCCTATCATTAAACGAAGGTTGTTTAACAATTGATATTTAAAATAGCTGATGTACTTGAATCCCAGAGATAGAAAGCACACTAATGCCGATTTTAATAGGGAGGGTTTACGTAATAAAATTGATAGAGTGGAGTTCTGGGAGCTGCTAGTAGAGGTGCAAATGAGTTCACACAGCCCTGTTTTAAGTGACAATGATCCTATAGACATTATCTGTGTACTATATTATTCCCTAGCAGCTAAACACACTTTGCAAGGGAACTATAGCTTAGTAAATGTGTTGAAGCTCTGCTGACTTCCACCATCCAATCATGTGCAAGCAAAAATGCTTTTTTTTTAAATTTACTTTGCACCTGATTGGGTATTCTTTGCAAAGTGAACTTTCCCCCACATTCACTGAGCTAAGGGAAAATTACCTTTCAAAATGAAGTTCTGGCAATGTCTTTCTGAGACCCCCTAAGCCTGACTGGGAACTGGAAAAGAGCACCAGCTAAGAAGAAACTGACTCCTCTACTAAATTATGTACTCAAGTATGAATATGTATTTTTTTTTTGCAAATACATACTTGCTGCTTTTACCTAAATTCAGTTACATTTTTGAAAGTATGGGGTATTAGAGGTTTGTGGAACGCTTTTCCCCCTAACATGTTGCGGCAATGTCTTTCTGAGACCCCCTATGCCTAACTGGAAACTGGAAAAGAGCACCAGTTAAGAAGAAACTGACTCCTCTACTAAATTATGTACTCATTTATGTATATAGTCACATATTTGAAAGTATGGGGTATTAGACGTTTGTGGAACGATTTTTCCCCCTAACATTTTGTGGCAATGTCTTTTTGAGAGCCCCAAAGCCTAAGTGGGAACTGCAAAAGAGCACCAGCTAAGAAGATACTGACTCCTATACTAAATGATGTACTTAAGTATATATTTTTTTTTTTTGCAAATACATTCTTGCTGCTTTTACCTAAATTCAGTTACATTAGTGAGTGAAGGGGGGTTTGCTAAAGCACAATTAAACATCACCTACCTTGCCAACAAAATGTATTGCTAATAAGTGCTGCAAGTTTAATAATATAAAACCCATAAAAAAATTCCAACATATTAAAATAATTTTTTTTAAATGCTTAGTCCTGATTCTGGTGGCCTAGCAAGCCTTTTGATAAAGATCTCCACCGCCACTATAAAGGAATCATAGGCAACAGTTAATAGGCTAATATGATAGCAAATAAATTACAAAAATGTTACTTACGTTCACATGTATCCCCTTTCTGTTGATAACCTGCTCTGCAGATACACTTTCCAATAGGAACCAACCATTCACCTTCAGCACTGCAGTGCATCTTGGGAGAATTATCCGCCTCTTCCTCAGCATTGCTGACACAGGTCCCTCTTACTTCAACCAAGGAGGAGAATTCGGAGCCAGTAACAGTGTCAGGGAAGATGGCCAGATTCTCAATAATGGTCCAACACTTTTTATAGTACACTTTCACTGATACCAGGGCAATGCAGGCTCCTACGTCCTGAAATGCCAGGTAAAATCCTTTTTTCGAGAGAGGTCCAATTTCCCGAACCTCGGTATTAAGTTTCATTTTTCGTTCGCCAAGGTCTCCTTGGGTAAAACTTTCATCTGCGGCAATAGTGTCTATTTTCACATATTGATTTTCTCTCATGTTTCTGACAGAATCATAATCTGTTTCGTAATAATACAAGTTAAATGTTTCCTTGCAGGTTCCCAGTACACCAGGAAGACTATTACAATCCCTTAATGTGAACTTTAACTCAACAAAAATCCTTTGTGCATTGGCTTTTGAAATCCAGTTAGTCCGCAGCCAGTTGTTCTGGTTGGGTTCCAGGACCTGACATACCTGATAAGTTCTAATTGGAGTGTAATTTTCATCCAATCCACTGATTTCTTCCCACTGAAAATAAAGTGAATTAATATTAGCAAATGTAACAAAGGCGCCATTATTTTCCAACATTCCAGGATTAAACATAAACGCATTTTATACAAATGAGGATTAAGTGGATATCTAATTATCAAAAAGAGTTGAATTAACTATGGCACAAAACTAAGTGCAACATTAAATTTGTCCTATATAGTGGTGGACGTATAAAATATTGGACTTTAGGCGATCGGTATACAGTGGGTCAACAGTGGTCAACAGATCGGTATACAGTGGATCAATTTCAGACAGTGAATTGGACATTTCAGAAAGTGGGTCATTTTGCAAGACTTATGGTTTATTTACATGCTTGCCAATCACCATAACAGTGAACCTGTACAAGCTGTAAATACAGTACTCCAGTTATATTTTTGTAAAAACTTTTAGTGGGCTCCGGTTCAATTCTGCGTTACAGACATGATAGACACTATCAGAGACAATAATATAATGTACTGTAATAATATTCTGCCTTATCTTATTGTCACTGCTTGCACAAAGTGCCATTTTTATATTACATACAAGTTTATTTCATAAAGAACTTGACACAATCTACAGTAACAACTGGCAGCCAATCAGATATTATTTTATTAAATTGGGACCAGGAAAATACAAATCTCTTTAGTTGTTACCAGCTTCTGCATTTTGTGTTATCTTATTTAGAAATAAGTCCCAATTTCTATTTTTATGCAAAAGATATTGCAGTAAGAAAAATAGCTTACTAAATATGACATTACTACAAATACAAAGTGGCATTTTGTATATTGCGCGTTTGTATATTGCCGATTTCCTAGACTGATATCCACTGTAGGGATGTATTTCATGATAATGGCTTTAATGTGGAAGTTATTGACTTTCTGTTGCAAATTGCTGCAATAATACCATGAGTGCACAATGCCCTGCACATCTTTTATTCTGAAGGATAAATAATTTTTTTTTAAGTGAACAAAATAACATAATGACAAACTTAAAGAAATGGTACATTTACCCACAGAAAAACATGTTGTGTAGCATAAGACAATGCCATAGAAGATGTTCCTATTAAAAAATCAGTAACAATTTTAACTGTTAGCAATAATGTGCATGGTTTCTCTTGTCTTTTGTGAGAACGTGGTATAAATCGTAAGATATAGTGTGAATGGCATATGTTTTTTGTTACATAATATTAAAGAACGCTTTATAATTGCAAACCATATTGCGCCAAGGTTAACATTTGTCTGATGACCTGTTTAATTGTTATATAATATTTGGGAGCCCTTGTAATGAAAAAGTCTTAGCACATTATAAATACTGGATTATAATAACTTCATATTATATACATGGAATAGAAAAAAAAAATCAATGATCTAAAAAATAAGTAATGACATTTTAATGGGGACATTTTTTTTCATTATTATTTTCAAAAAAAAGAGAAAAAAAATATTCACTACAAGATTAGGATACATTACAATAAGCAATTTTTTATTTGAAACCCCCTGTAACTGCTTTGTGGTGTCAAACATTTGTAAGGCTTATGGCATTTATTTAGAGTATAATGCAATAGGATCATTTTGCTACCTGTTATAAGTTGTCATACTAGTCAAAGCTTATTTTCACTATGTAAAAATAAATTATATATTCAGAACTTTGAGCAGGGTTGTGAATATGTAACCTTTTCATTTGTTTCTGAAAAAAAAAAGTCTACAATGGTACCATCCAAGGCCTAAAACCCCACAAGTCACCTGGTGACTCAGATTTTCCATTGCAATCAGATCAAACTATAGTAAATACAGTAATTCTGCCAATTATTCAGGACTTCATCCTAAAATGGGAGAACATTACATACGTGCATTAGAATGTACTCATTGTTCAGTCATGCTATTAATGAAAGCTTTACTACAAATTTAAATATGAATGAATCCAAAACGACAGTCTATGTAGTATATATATATATAT